CCTCCTCTCTCTCTCTCTCTCTCTCTCTCTCTCTCTCTCTCTCTCCTTCGTGAACGAGAAGGGTTCTATGGACTACCCATATAAAGAGGGAGGGGAAAAGGAATGCACGTCTGGCCGCAAACTCAGCCGGTTTTACGGTTCGGATCGAATTAATCGGATGTAGTTAATCGGATTCGGGTCTGCAGATCCTATATCCGTTATCATTTCAATCACGTGATGATTAGATCGCACAGACCCACATTGAATCCGCGTGCTCATGGGGTCGGCTCGGAACGGCAGCGAACCCACGGCGACGCATCAATCACGATGGAAGCCTCCGCAACGGCAGAGGTGGCGGCGGAGATTCTAGAACCCTTGGAGCTCCGCTTCTCCGACCTTCTCCTCCTGTCCTCCGCCGCTCCCTCTCATCCTCCACCCTCTCCCGCTGAGCTGGCGCGGCTGGAGTCCATCTCCGCCGCCGCGATGCAAGCCCTAGGCTCTTCGGGGCCTGGCCTCCTCGCGATCACTGAAGTGCCCAAAGCTCCTGACCTTCGCCGGCTCATTCTTCCTTTCGCTCGCAAGCTCGCGCTCCTTGGCCGCAAGGATCGCGCCCGTGTCCTCAAGGTAACAACCATTTTTCTATGCGGCTCCACTTCTCAAGATGACGCTTTGACGAGTGGGCGACGGCGTATCATATTGGAGTTCTTGGGTTGGTATTCCGTATCAGGGGAAAACTTGGGTTCGATCTCCAAGCTTCTGCAATAAAAAATTGGTTTGAAGTTCTTATTTATGAACTGCTTGATTAGATCCTTCTGTAGATACCTTGAATGCTGCACTTCAACCTTATGATTTGGAAAAGGAAACATTTTGTTTTGAGTTAGGGTTTTATATTTGGATGAGACATGGTAAAAGACAGGGTTTAGAGACTGAGGAAAAGAGTCTCAAGACTTAATTCATTTTACATCATCAAAAGCTTTTAACTCTTACTCCCCTGCGAGGAATTGAGATCTACTTGTCCGTCTTTGCTGATTTACCCATCAACACGTGGGCAAGTTTTTAATTCTTACTTGATCTGGATTTAAATTTTTGCTACTTACATGCGGTTATCTGACAAGAAAGAATAACTTCAGGTAGGGTGTGAAGATTTCCTCCCATTAGTTTACTTCAGTTCATAATGAGAATTTTATCTATGTTTGTAGAGGCTACTAAATTACCATGTTCACAATCTGAAATATATAAAACAGAAATTCCAGTGATACTTTAGGACAGATGTAGGGGATTAACTTGTGTAACTTAGTGTAAGTGAATGCACCTTCTTGAAAACTTTGACTTTTCCTCTAAATTGTTACAATCATATTGTAAACAGGAATGGTTTGGATTTAGTAGCAAATTCACTTTGCTTCTTTTGAGTGTCCAAGGGATTTGGATATCACTATGACTGATTGGACATGCTAATCATTTCATATTGAATGTTATAATGAAGTCAAATTAGGAGGAAATCTGACTATACTATAAGCATCTATTCATTTATTGATCATCTTACATTCTCAAGTTGAGCCTACTTTATGAATTTGTCTAATAACTTTGGAAAAAGAAAGGTATATCTTAAATAAGCTATAGTAACTGGACCTGGAAACTGGTGTTCCTAATCATGATTGTTTTTTTTTTAATACTTTTGTTCTATGTGCTTGCCTTCTATACATTTGCATGAAGACTGTAGCTATTTGTTCCTTTTCCTTGGTAAATTAGTAAGCCTCAGAAAATTGCCAAAATTAATTTCTGTACAATGATGGATGCAACCTGCTACTCTTTATCTTATCTTTTTTTTTTCCTTTGCTTTTTACCATCAGCTTCAGGAACGGAATATATGTCTACCGTATGCTTTTGGTATGTTGTTTAATATCATGGAATATAGAATATTTTTCTTACCTATCCTTTGTACATAACGTAGGCTTTTAGGGATACCATGAGAAAATTTATAAAATTATCCTTTGAGCAAGGATGGATGGATAATTCTGTCTTCCTAAAGCCCTGACTTCTAAAATTGAGCTAGATGACATTGGAGAACTGATCTCTGAACAATGATAGGTAATTTCGTCCTCCATTTATGTCTTTGAGTTAATAAAACATTAAGGTCACTACACAGCAAAATTGTCCTTTCTGATTTCCAGGCTCCCATAGGTGGCATTGTTTGTAGGATTATTGTTAACTTGGCCATTCTTTTTAGATATCATATTTTGGTGATTCTACGAATTTGTAGGTAATACTATGGTTTGGGTTTTGTGTTACATGGACCAACTTGTAATTCATGTTGAAAGCATATTCTTCGAAGTTTAAAATGAACACAAAATGATTTTAACACTAGCATATGCATTGTTCCTTGGAGGACTTGTGCAGTTCACTTGTAAATTGTACATTTGTCATGATCATGGTGCATGATTTTTCTTGATGCCATGCACATTTATCAAGAATGAATAGGTATCGGACATTGAAGTTCACGAGCCTTAATTCTTGTGTTTAGTGTTTGATATTTGCCCATTTGCAGCTCTAAGAATTTTTTTTTTTCTGCTGATTACAGGAGCATGGTTTGGGCAGTGATGTTCCCCTAAAGAATCTTGACAGGAATGTGTCGTCTTTCGCTTTGCAATTAAAATATGCACATAATTTAAATTCTGAATCATCATCAATTAGATCTCTATGCACAGAAGAAAACCATTATTATGCAGAAGGAAATCCTGTTGAGGATAGTTTTGAGAAGTTTGATGATAAGGAGTTTAAGATCCTTGGGTCTACTTTCAAGGAACTGAGTCTTTGCATGATGGAACTTGGTCTTCGACTAGCTCAAATTTGTGATAAAGCCATTGATTGCAGAGAGTTAAAGCAAAGCATCATGGATGGCAGCGCAAAAGGACGCCTCATTCATTATCATTCAACAATAGACAACATTATCCTTAAAGAGACCAACAGAACAAAAAAAGGATCTAAGAAGAAAGTTGAACCTGCTACACTTGATCCTTCACCTTCCGATGAATGTACAATATCAAGGGACTTTCATGAGAAAACTTCTGTTACACATTGGTATTCAGAAAGCAGATCTGTAAAAGATAGAACAAGTCAGATTACTTTGTCCAATCTGTGGCAGCAATGGCACTATGATTATGGCATTTTTACTGTTCTAACATCACCTTCGTTTATGTTCTCTTGTCTGGCAGAAGATTGCTCTCATATTTCATGCTGTCGAGAGTGCTCCTCACCCGATGAACATACTTATCTTCAATTGTTTGATATAAAGAAGAACAAAATATTTGTTGTGAGGTCCCCAGCTGACAGTTTCATCATTCAGGTAGGGGAAGCAGCTAACATATTGACTAGTGGTAAGCTTCAATCTACACTTCATTCAGTCGGTAGAACTGTGGACATGGACAACTTGAGCAGGCAGACTTTTGTGGTCTTCCTGCAGCCTGCTTGGAGCAAAATTCTCTCTTATTCTGGGTATCCTGAGGAAACAAGTAATCATGATAAGTTGGTCTTAAGAACCGAAATGACCACATCTTCTAAAAAAGAAGATGCTTTCTTGAGATATAGCACAAGTGACTCTAAGGATTCACATCAGTTAATGCAAGAAATACTCAGAAAGATACCACCTCTTTCTATCCGATTTAGAGATGGAATGACATTTGCAGAGTTCTCTCATGAGACTACCAAGCAGTATTATAGCAGCAGCGGCACACAGTCTATGAGATAACTAGATTATTGCTTTGCTTTTCATAAAAAATTCTAGTGTATCATTCACATTTGACATTATGGCAGATGTTGCAAAATATTCATGAGCAATCGGAATCATCCTCTAACAGAACTCATGTCAAAGTATTTTCATTAGAAAATTTTGTGTTACAGTAAGGAAGCACGAAGATGCAAACGTAGGAGAATATCTCAGGTTCTTCTGAGGCTTTGGATTTCCTATGTTCCAGTACATGCTACATAACACATGTGCAAGTTCTCTTTTTAGAAGTTAAACAGAAAATCTACACACCCCCGGTATCCTATGGTGAAATGCAGTTTGCAAGTGGGAGCCCGAAGATGATTTTGGCAAAGTGCATTTTGTGGATGTGGAATCCTTGAGATTCATTCTGTTCCCTCAGGCTTATTTCACTCGAGGCTGATGGAGCATGAGAACTGCTGTCATTCGTCTTCCTTTGTAGGTTATGGCAGTGGCGACAATGTCCAAAGAGCCTGGGATGTCGAGAAGTCACTCCTTTCATTCTGTTTTGAGATTCAAGGATTTTGGAGTAGGATCCATCTATGAAAAGGCTGTGTTTTAGGCTTTTTGACTATTTGTGTAAGTTCCAGAAAAATGCAGGCAATAGTATTCAAGCAAACAAATCCTCATTAATTTGATTGCTGGAATCTGGAATGCTGCTCTCACACTGCCGATCGGCTGTGCTTTAATAAATCATGTGGTTTTATAGACATTCTGATCTTTTGAGCTTTGCTAATGATCTGTCATTTGAGCCTGCATGCAGCCGGGTAATGATGATAGCCTCGCACCATCATAGACAACTTTCCTTTCCTGCAGTTGAATAAACCGTTTGCCTTTCCGTGTTCTTCAAACTCCTCCCCCCCTGAAGCTGAAGCATTTTTAAGTGTATGTTTCACATGCATCCCTCTTGATGTGTCGTGGTTTAGTCTGATTGTACTGCATTATTGGTTGTCGAATGGCGAACCATGCTCTGGTTCAAAAACAGAGCTGCTTCTTCCAGATACCTAATCGAGACATCAAATGTTGTTTTCAATTTGATTGTTTTGTGAATTTATGGCTTTGTAGGTGCTTTGGAATTTGCACACAGGATTAGACATGGATTTTAAATGCCAATTTGAACCAGGGTGATCTTTCGATAGCCCATATCTAATTTCGTACATTCTATTCGTCATCATGGATCTCGTGCTGAAGGGAAATGTTTTATCTAATTGCAGTGGGGATGACTATGCCATCCGCTGTTCGGAAACCGTACGGTTTGGTACTTCTCAAGGCGCGTCATACCTCCTGTCATCGTCTTGGCTAGACACGTGGCGATCGATGGAAGGAGCAGGCAACGTTTGCTACGACACTGCTGATCTGATCCGGTGTAGAATATTGAGTGTGGGCTTGCCCAAGCGGAGAGGCTTCGACGCGCCTTCCTCGAGAGAGCGACGTGGCGTTGGAAGTCTCCTAGCAGCTTCGGTGCACTTAAATTCAACGCCACCTACCACTTACGAAATGGTACCCTACTGACCTATAATTACTGGAACGCCACAATCACCCACTAAAATATTAGTGCGCAAGAGCATGCTTCTTCAGCGCCGACTAACAGTTTCGTCTTCGAATTCATCAACATGAAACAAATGAATTGAGTTCCTCCGCCTCATGCCGACAGCCGAACAGTTTTACTTACATCACTATCTTCGTCTTTTAACATTATGAAATTTCATTGCATTATTTGATACTTATGTTATTGACACTTATACTGGCAATGGCGTTCTTGTAGTTACAGCATCAGGACGGCCCATTCTTTCATGCCCTTTTCCTTCTTTTAAACGCAAGGAAGGGAGGATAAGTACGACCCAGGAACGGAGAGACTTGGGCGGTCCAACGATGTTGCCGGGGGTGGAGTTGGCACGGAAGCGAAGAGTCCACCACCGCCACGAGGTGGGGACGCCGCCGAACATGCCGTCGTCCGCGCGCCTTCCGTTTTCCGACCGTCTGCCTGCTGCGGCCATGGACGAGCCGACCCTCGCCGCCCGCCTCCGTCTGGAGGAGAAGCTTCGGGGCCTTATGGGCTCCCGACGGCCGTCTCCCTCCTCCTCTCCGCCATCCATCAGGTTCCACCGCTCCTCTGTGCATCTCGTTCTTTTGTCCGTTCACTTCTCCATCCTCCGATGGATTAGGAACACGCAGCTGCCAGTCTGCAAAACGTTTTGCACGACATCGAAGTCTCTCTCTGACCGTGCTTGGCTAATGGCCTCCGCAGGTCAAATATAGAAGAGATCTCGACGCTTCCCGCGGCGGCTGGCAATATCACAACGAGGGTAATCGCTACTGAACTCCCTAAGCGACGGAGTAACAGTGTTGCGCTTCAGAGGACGGGCTCCAGGGCCGATCTGTGCGCGGTGTGCCTCGACGAGGTCCAGGCGAAGCAGAGGGTCACACGGCTTCCTTGCTCCCACAAGTACCACACCGAATGCGTGCTGCCATGGCTGGCTGCTCATTCGCACTGCCCATGTTGTAGAAGCCAAGTTCCTTCGTCGGATCAGCTCTCATAGTACTCACATGTTTAGGGTTGTGCTGACGAGGGTAGATTCGAGGGAGGGTTGATGGTGTGAAGCAGGGTGGAGGTCTGCAACACGAACCTGTTCTTTGATTGTTTCATATGAAGTAATGGCATCCTCTTTTAAATAGTTCTCAACGCAGTGGTCATTGCGAAGTTTTCCTATTTGTTTCGAGTTTTGTGTTGCATTATCAAACATCAATTGCTCTCTGGTTTTCAAAATAAACCACAGCCAATAATTAAATATAAATGAATAAAATTCGTTTACAGCTAAATCAAAACATTCCCATCACTTTACTAAATCAATGACAGTACTGTTAACGATAAATTCTTCTTCAATTGATGCAAGATTTAGTTATCTATTCCCTTTTCGTTTGTGAGGATATCTTCCCAAGAAAGTGCAGATTTGAAAGTATTACCCCAAGTTCTAATACTGAATATACTTTACATACTAGAAGAATATACTTCACATAGAATCCAAATCGATGGAAATGTCATGTTTGCGTATGAATATGTTGTGGTCGGTGAGTCAACACGGCTAGGTCGGTGGATCGACGTCGGAAGCCTACTACGGGGTGATCTGGATGAAGAGGTAGTCGGGCCCTCGGGAGAGGGTGTTGGTTGGCATTGGTCGGGATCAGGGCTGATTAACAACTCCACATTGTCGGACGATTGGCGCTCCCGTGCCAAGTCCCTCGCCATCAACGAGAGGTCGTCCTCTTATAAAATGGCCTTCACTAGGTGGTCCCCGATTGTGGCCCCTCCGACGAGCAAGTTAGTAACGAGAGGGATTGCTTTTCTTTTTTCCTTTTATTTTTTATGCCTCTCCCTGGTCGGAGGTCGGTCGGGGGTTTTCTTCTATAGTGCGAGGGTTGATGGTGCGTCGATTCGACGTCGTCGCTGACCCTCGAGAGATGGGACGGTCTTTTTGACTAGCCGTCGTTCCGGGACGTGCAGAGCAACATCAGACGGCACTGCCCCGAGCTCCCAGGACGGGACATGCGGCATATCTTCTTGATACGAACTCTCGGGACGAGACGTATGGCGTAGGGCTCTGACTTGACGTGCGGTGTCAGCTGTGACGTGTTCAGGTCGCCAAAATATACCGTATCACCATAAACGATGGTTCTATGTAGAATTTGGAATCTAAGATAAAATCAATTCCAAATGATTACAGTTGCAAAATGAAAATGAAATATAATTTTTTTAAAAAAATTCTCTAATTAATCATTTATTAAATTACTAAAAGGGAAATATTTATCATTTAGACGATCATTTTTTAAATTTTTAGATTAGTTCAAAATCAAATTAGAACTTCAAATTCTATGAACCATAGACGTCCATGGAATCTAGTTTTGATTTGGTTTAGAATTACTAAAACGTTAACTCGATTCGTTCGATTCTTAACTAGTTCGGTTCCAATTCACATCGAATCATGGTCGAATCTACCTCCTAAGAAAATCTTAAGTTACGAGATAACTTGTAACATGAAACATTTGTTCAGTCCATTTAGACTGAAACAGGGGACATGTTGTTAAGAAGGAAAACTTATTCGAAGTCTTGGTTTTCGTTTTCCCTTCTACAGGGTTGCGAAGACTCGAAACTAAATGTTTAGAATGACTTCCATGTAGAAAGTAGATTAGTTTACTCTCGGCCTATTAAACACGCGTCGTTCTTGACCTAAAACCCTTCTTAGGTGGAAGCTTAATGAAGGCAAACTTTGAATTCGTAGCAACGAACTTTCTCTAGAAACTATGTTTGTGGACAAGCTTTTGCATCCAAAATATGACTAATAAATTAAACCAGTATGTATCGGCTCCCGTGTCTCAGCCCAGCCACCAAACACAGAAGCAGCTTGGGGCTCTTCCTAGTTTCGGCCGTGGGGCCCTTCATCAACCAATACGGGTGCTTTGTAACGTGTTTGGTCGCTCGATGGAGACATTGGTGTTGCACTACGTGTCTGTCATATGGAACGTGTTGACGCAACCTGATAAAGTCGGCCTCTAGATGAATTTGGAATTGTTAAGGCACACGACGCTGACCAGACTGCTTAAATGTATGTCTACTAACCAAAAAACTAATCTATAACCAGTAAAGTTGAACTCTTTATAAAGCTCTCATACAATAAAACTTCATTTGATAAATTTATATTAAATATATTGATATCTAATGGTGAAATATTAGAGAACTAATTTCATATTTTACCACTTATGTTTTATAAAAGAATAATTTAACTAGTAAATATCTTGTCGGGATCTAATCACCTTCATTTGTTCATGGTATAGGATAAATAAAAGACTTCGAGAAAAATATTGCTTTAGCCGAACCCATTAGGATTGAGATTCTAGATGAGATGAGACATTTTCTTCGATGAGGCCCCAATTTAATGCACAGAACATTCGGATGTGCCGAAAAGTCAAAATCAGGTCTCCACAGAAACCTCATAATTCAAATGGTTTGGTCGGGAGGAACTGTCGATGACTATTGAAACTTGAAGTTTGTTATCCATGTTTGATCGAAGACACGACTTTTGATCCAATACAGAAACTTGACGTCTGTACTTTGGACCTTTGAACCGAAGCTGAGTTATTTGTTTATGATGCCAAATTGACACGTGGCAATGAACCAAGCATGAAATACAATTAATTAATTCAGAATTACCCACAAAGAGAAAACAAGATAGGGATAGTTTAAATATATAAAAAAAATATTTTTTACGACAAGTGTTTTATGAGGTTTTGTTACAAAAAACACAAAATTTTCTTCCGTCTTCATTTCTCTGTTGTGCTGCGACTAATTATATAAAGCTGCGTTGCACAACACAATCTTAAACAACTCCGGTAATTTCTCCTAAACACCATCACCTACCCCACTTTCGTCTTTATTTATACCACCCAAAAGCGTATGCACGTCTCTCGCTGTGGGCTCGTGATCTGAAGCAGGAGCAGGAAGGGTGGAAGGAACATGGAGTGGGCTCAACTTGTGCTGGTTTTGGTGGTTCTCCAATCAATCACCACCTCACCTTGCTGCCACACGGAGCAGCTGCGGAAGATCCGCTCTCCCCTTTCCTCGCACCTGCTTTCGGTACCTACTCTCCTCATCTCCCCAACCTTTGTGCTTTCTTTGTGTTCACCGTTTCTCATCTCCTATCTCTCCAAATCTGAAGCTTTCTGTTCTTGTTCTGCTTGTTCTTGTCCAGCTCTGTAGTTGCCTTTGATTTCTCTGTAAAATTGATACTGCCTAGTAGCTATTGGCTATTATGTCGAATGTCTGATTTCCCCCCTTTTGTCATATAGATTATATATGCAATAAGAGTGACTGTGGGAAGGGGACCTGCGAAGTATCACCAGAACACGCCTTTGGATATGTATGCAACTGCAAACCAGGGTGGACTCAGTTCCACATCGGAGACCACTTCAGGTTCCTCCCTTGTGTCGTCCCCAACTGTGAGTTCCCTCTCTATCTCTCTCTCGCTCGCGCTCCCTCTGACTTGGTCGGTGGAATAGCTCAAATATTTGCTTCTGTATCAGCCTTGAAAAGCTTAGCTATGTAGGTTTCAGGTCTATGCTTTGCATAATGAACCTGTTCTGCATAATGCCTCAACCAGAGCTCATTAACTAATTGAATGAGTTGGGTCACGTTTGATCAAATTATAAGAGATGTCCAGCATAGGTTTTGGCGATACAGCATATTCTTGACTCATTTGTTTGAGTTTAATCTTAAGACTTGTCTTGACATGTACTGGTTAGCTGTATGGATTCTCCTGAAACCAAATGAAAGAAGAAAACATGAAACATAAGAACTATTTGTTGAACACAGTCACATTCATCCACATCAATATGCTTTTAATATCTTCTATATGTCTAAAACATACAAAAACATATATCTTTGATTCTTTGGAATTTCAGCCTGCACATATTTTTTCACTTCAAATATCCTGCTTTTATGTTGATCTTTTAGGTAGCATCAGCTACTCATGCCACAATGATTCAATGCCTCCTGCGCCGTCACCCTTGCCAAATCCACTCAATTTCTCTTTGTGGGATCGTAAGTATCAGATCATGGCCTCCTTTTATATCTTTTTCACCATTAAGTTCTGCAAGTATGACACTGCTTCTCTGTTTCCAAAAGCTTGCTTGTATTCCTTCTGTGGAGGTGGCACTTGTGTGAAAACATCGACTTCCGAACATCGTTGTGACTGCAAAGCGGGTTTCAAGAATCTTCTGAACGATAGCAGTTTGCCTTGCTACAGAGATTGTAAGAACATCACTGTTTGGTTTCTCTTTTCTGTCAACATCATGATCAAGGGAAAAAAAGACAGATTACAAATTTGGTGATGGACTTGCAGGCTCGCTTGGAGCTGATTGTGCAAACCTCGGGATCACACTGTCGAATTCCACTTCTCCGGCTTCACCGCCAAGTCTGTCCGACAATGGCAGTTCATCAGGCGGAGGTAAGTCAAATTTGTTAGTTCTTTTGAGAACTGAGAACCGATGCGATGAAACACTACATGATCTCTATGTCAACAGATATGTTAGCTCCCAATACATTGCTTTGGATGGTTGTGCCGGTGATTCCTGTCGCCATGGCTTACACGAGATTCGTAGAACTCGGAGTATTGTGATAGTGTTCTTCTGTCCACATTCAGCATATAGATACAGATGGAGTAGCACCATTAGAATTCATAGTGCTTGGTATTTGTTCTGAGATCTTATGTATATAACATCTTGAATAAACATTTGGTTTGCTCCTCTCGTGGGTTGATATACTTAGAATAAAGCAGGCAGATCTTCTTGTAGCTTTTCCATTATTGATTGGTTTGGTTCTCTACTGGAAAAATAAAAGAGTGGGGTGACATATAACGTTTTAGCTCATAACTTTTGAATTGAATTGATGTTCAAATTGATATAGTTTAACTTTGTCAAGTTTGACTTAGACTCATTGTTTTTAACATTCACTCGCAGTAGATCAACACCTCAGAGACAAGAAAATAGCGCAACTTAAAAAGAGTAGAAGAAGATGAACTAAGAAAATATTTTCATTTTGTTGCATATTGAAAGAATAAGAAGCTATAGCCTCTATATCACTTGAACATTTTGAGGAATAAAAAAATATTTCTACATTAGAAGCTGTAGCCTTCAAGAGATATTGAAAAATTATGACCTTGAGAAAAGATAAATTAAGAGTGGATATAGGTTTGGAAGATCGAACCACTATAATGTATTTGATTATGTTTTAAATTTATTGTAAAAGATTATCACACTATCAAGATAATCGTATCATTTTGTGTCTTCGCATAAGTCACTCTCTCTCGATAATTATGCCTCTTCGAGATGTTTTTAACATAATCATATCTTCAAGTTAATTATGCCTTTAGATCATTCTAAAATTTTTTTGTCAAGTCATTAATGTATAGTCATCTTGAAAACTGGACCCTTCAACATGGTCTATCCTCAAGTTGACTATCTATATCTAACAAAAAAAAAAAAATCACATCATTCAAGATTGAATGATGGCCAAAGTCAACTGTATCTTCAAGAAGGTCACACCCTCAACTCGATCACACCTTTAATTTGATCATTCTCAAGTTAGTTAGATCTCCAAGTGCTCCGCGATTGCAACCAAGACATTCAAGCACACAACAAATCGAGCACTTGACTTGTTCAAGTTGGCAATATAGCATATCGACAAATCTAGAGCAAAAAGACAAAAGGACTAAGTCAAGTAGGTAAACATAATGACTCAATAAAGACCAACATATCATAAGACAAATGGACTAGGCATTAGGATGAGATGATGAGTCAAGATCATCGTTAAAAGATACTTTGGTAGCCATCAGAATATTTTGATCTTTGGAGTACTCGATGAATGGGTCTTTCTCAATCTCTGCCTGAAGATACCTCATCTTGAAACGAGTTAACATAGTACTCATACTAGTATGAGGTGAACCTCAACCTCTCCAAGCTCTTCCTAAACCTGATGGAGGCCTTATAATCGATAATCGTCTTCTCTCAGTACCTCAGTATTATGTTTCTCTCAACCTCTAATACCTTATTTAAACTTTAAATGAGCTTAAAGTTGGCTGCAGCAACTTACTTAATGAGCTTAAAGTTGTAGGTTCTCATCGAACCTAACTCTCGGATAAGTCATAGTAGCTCATCCTCCATGTTATGATTGTTGCTCTAGACCACCTTCAATTGTTTAGCATGATCAGTGAGGTATCGCTTGGCCTATTCTAATTGTCTCCCCATCTGTGCTTCCTGAGCTTCTGCCTCAATGATAAGAGCTAGGTCTCCCATGTCCCTCTTCAGCCCCCTCTACCTACTTAGAAAAATTGTCAATCATACGGGACTACTAATAAATGATAGAGCTGACGTCCTATACACGGTTAAGAAGGATCATGATATAATGGTGATGTTACAAGTCAAAAACAAAGGGGTTATTAACAAAGCAACAAGGTACTAAAGGAGTTAACCATGACTTAGCTTACCAATACTTGATTACGGTAGTTTGTGTCAAGCAAAACCTCTAAGAGAGAATGGTAAATATTCTTCACTATCTTGGAGCATACGAACCCTCAACAATATTGCTCTATGGCTCTGGCATTGCCTTATATTTTATGCCCTTCTTCAAGGCCCTCCCAGCTTGGTTGCAATGGCATGTTTGGAATCAGGTCTAGTAGGTCGACTATCTTCAAATGCTACGAAGGGTAGTGACTTGCCTTTGCACAAGTCAAACACTAACCTTTTTCCCTCTTCTCTTCTTTCCAAGGAGGACCTTGAGCTTTAAGAACCCCTTAAAAATGCTAGTATCTCGGAAGTAGGAGGCACTTTGTTTAGTTCCTCTTTGAGAATCCACTCCATCTTTGGTTCCTCAACCTGCTTCATGACCTTCTTCTTCCTTAGCTGGCTGATGATAGGACATGGAAAGAGCTAAAGAGGCCACCATTGTGCCTAAAGAGGAACCATCTTCATTTCTCTTTAAAGCTCCAAGATCCATAACAGTAGGAGATCAAAGTTATAAGGCTACACAGATTAATTTTCAAAGTGCAAAAATAAGTGAGAAGGAGAGTGTGTTCAGATCATACCCTGAAGAGTTAGGTTAAGACCCATGTTGATTAACTAGTCCTTATCTATCTTCTTGAGAGCCTCAAAAGAAGAGAGTATATCTCTCAATCAAAGCACTTGATCTGCCTCCTCATCTAACAAGAAAGGAAGTATGTTATCTATGGAGTGTGTGGATTAGCCAAGACTAAAAGCCCAATCTTGATTTGTATCTATTGGGAAGAAGCACTCCTTTTAACTTCTAACTTTGAAGCCTTCCTAAACAGCCAAGTAGTAATCAATTTTTGCCTTGCATAGCCAAAAATAGGTAGCAAAGAGTTTGTAGGTTAGGTTAATCCCGATGTGGTAGCATTCTCTTATGAACACTACTAAGTAGCACCACAAGTTAGGCACCGTATGTGAGAGTGATATCTTCCATAATCGGAGGTAAGATACAATCATCAGGTGAAGGGAAAAACAAAGTCCCAACTTTAGGACATCAGAAGACAAACAAATAAACCTAAATATTAAGTCATATGGACGGTGACCAAGTTGAGGGACCTATAGCTCAAACTTGATTGGGATAGAGTACTTGGCCCACAAATGGTCTAGGAGTTATTTACTCATCACCAAGTTTCTATTATACATGTTTTTCATAGACTCTAAATCTCGAAGAATCTTTGGGTTTACAGGGATCGACTCTCTGGATGAAGAAGAGGTTGAATCTTCCTTCGCCCCTATGCTATCCAAGGATGGAGCACTAATCTCCTCAGCCATTCGATGTCCATGAGATTGGGAGCAACTTGTGCAAGAAAGAAAAGACCTCCCAACCTACAGAGGCGAAAGAATGAGGTGCTGGAAGTGAAGGTTTTAAAGAGCGGACATACCTAGAGGATGAGGCATCCAAGAATCAACCTACTTTCAAGAAGAGAATCAAGGATCAACTTATCTTATAGAGGAAAACTAAGGCTAAGAAGTGAAAGCTTCTGAGGGAGAAGAGGATCAAATGAGAGAATGAGTTTCACCTTCATGGCTAACGAGAATTTATGAGGAGAGGATCAATCTCTCTCCTCCCATATTGAAGACAAGTACCTCTTCCAATCAAATCCAAAGAGACACTAACTAATAAATGGGAACCTCAGAAAATGTAAAAGTGACTGATATAAGAAGATCACATTAAAAAGTGCAAAAGGGATCAATGTACAAAGAACACCACGGAAACACAAAAATAACCAATATACAAAGACCTCTTTGAAAAGTGTGAAAGGAACTTATCACAACGAGAGACACGAGGCAAAATATGTCTGAGGCATATGAGTCTAGAAAACCTGACCCGCATAATAAGAAACTCACCACAATATGAGGCACAAGGTAAAATATTTTCAAGATGTATGTTGGAAAACCCAACCCTTATAAGAAGAAACTCACCATGATATGAAGCATAAGATAAAATATGCTTGAAGTACATAAGTCGAGAAAACATTGACCAATTTAAGAAGAAACTTGCTATAGTATGAGGCATAAGGTAAAATGTATTCAAGGCACATAAGTAAAAAAAACTAGACCCTTATGGGAAGAATCTTACCATAGTAGGAGATACAAGATAAAATATGCCCGAGATGCATGAGTAGAAAATACCCAACTTATATAAAAAGAAACCTGCAATGGTGGGAGGCACAAGGCCAAATGTGCCCAAGGACCGTGAACTAGGAAAAACCTGACCCTATGAAAAGAAACTCATCATGATAGGAAGCATAAAGAAAAATATGTATGAGACACATGATTCAGGAAAACTCAACCTATATGAGAATAAATCCATCACGATGGAAGGCATAAAAGAAATAGTGCTCGAGATCATCATCATCAAGCCACGAAGATCAGACACTTGACCCTTGTCTTCTTGCCAAGGCATGAAGGTTGGGAAATCGATCCCTTTTCGTTATTGCTAAGCCATATACATTGGGCACCCAACCCTCACCTTTTATTATCATCGAGCCATAAAAGTCAAGAAATATGGACACCTCAAGTAGAAATAGGCCTCCTACATCTAAGTTTGAGAGGTCAAGCACCCGACCCTCCCCTTTTATCGCTATTGAGCCATGGAGACCGAGCACCCGACCCTCTCCTTTCATCATCACTAAGTCACGAAGGTTGGGAAACTCGACCCATAGTCACCCATAACCCTTGTTGGTGAGGCACGAAAGTTGAACACTCAACCCTTCTCCCTCCCACCACCCCATCATTGTCGAGGCACAGAGGTCGAGAAATTGACCCCCTCTTCGTTATTGAGCCATGAAGGTCAAGAAACTAACCCTATCTCTTTGTTATCGAGCCACGAAGGTCGAGAAACTAACCTCCCACCCCCCTACATCGCGGAGGCAAAAGCTTGGACACTCGACCCCCCTAGTTGCCAAACTGAAAGAAGAAGACAAAGACTATCCCTCACATGTTTACCCACATGGATAAGGGTCCAAGGCAAGCATTTGTAGGTTGTCCCCCCCTTATCACCCATATGGAGAAAAAGCCAAAGAAAGATTATTTAAGGTAGTTTGAGACTATCTTCTCATAAAATATTTTACGTAATATTTTATATTTTTGTAATCAAGTATAAAAGCTCATATTCAATATAATAAAAAGGGGGAGCATGCTTTGACCACTCGTGTCCACACTTATCTTTCTTGAATTACTAACTTCGACGTCAAAGGGATCGATTAGAGAAACCTCTTTTGATTTTTGTCTTTCTGTAGATGGTATCTTATAAGCTCGATATTTCTATCTCAAATGTACTTCGGATAATATTGTACATATGGATCCGGATCACGTTAGGTAAATAAGGACATCAACGATATCTTCCTATAACAAATAATGATCAAAATTAATATATTTTTTATCTATCATTAAAACGAGAACAACCAAATTATATTCAATTTAGATCTTTCTTACAGTACCAAAACACTAATATAAGCAATCCTTTGATTGTTAGATTTATTTGGTATCACCAATTTATTCGACAATATCGTCTTATTATATAATGAAACATCTTATAGTAATTTGCTGTTTCTCTCATATTCACACCGTCAATCAATCAGTTGTTTCTCTCACCAAACGGCTAATGGGACGGCAATTTCACGATCACTGCCCGAAGATTAGCATTCTTGAGAGGTACAAGTGAAAACAATAATTTGATTAATCTTTTCGTGAACAGAAATTTTAGTGAGAGGAAATAATCTTTTAATGGAAAGGAAACAATACTTAGATCGAAAGAAAAACAATCCTTTGATTGTTAGATTTATTTGGTATACATGTAACAGTTATATATTTATAATTATTATTTTCCTTATTTTTATATCCAAGTTTATAATAGAACACAATTCAATTATACCCTTCTCCAGACGTCAACAAATGTGGATGCAGAAACATGGTAATCGCCCAATTTTTAGTATACATGTAAATATATAAATTAACAATTGAATTCCTGAGAACTACGAGCAACAATGTTCAATTGCTAAACCCCCGTCTTTCTTTCTTGGGATAAAAGATTTAAAGCATGCATCATTATCATTATTCTGCATATATATGCACAGAAACATAGATACATGAACCAGAATTTAAAGCCTGATGTCCCATAGACATTGATTAATCGGATTGCCTGCTCTTGTGATTATACTCCATAAGACAGTATATCATTTATTGCATCATTCATCGTATTTAGCATCTTAAAAATACATCTGCCATGCAAGTCAAGATATGCATAAAGAAATTATTTTTTAGGAATTACGAGTTTGGATCGGTAATAAGCATTTTCACTAGAATATTATAATGATATATATATAAGGTATTTTCTTGTCCTCGTATGGGCGTGTGACACTTTCCGTACTGGTTCCCTACCTTTCTTTCTATTTGGCATATATGTGGGTCCTGCCGTTCGCAACGAGTAAAGTGAGATTGATAGGGTGATTTACAGGCTAATAATGAATTAAATAAGAAAACTTTTTTGAATTATACCTATTTCCCTCTCGGTTCTGTCATATTCAGACAATGGTTGAACACCGACTTTCTTTTTGCGCATTCATCCGATTTTGTCTCTTTTCCCTCATCTGGTGGCGTTAGTATTGCGGTAATTATGGTTTGTAACGGAATGCAATTTAGGAATATGAATTTCTATTTAAGCTCCTTTTCGTTGCGGCAAACAGAAGCACAAAGCGAGACAGACGAGTGAGCATCAGACTGAAGGTGAAGATGTTGGCTGTGTTCGATCGGACGGTTGCGAAGATCCCGGAGGGCCTGAGGGCCCCGGCGGCGGAGCTCGGTGAGGGCGGTAGCCGCTTGATGGGCCACTTCTCGGCGACGCGGGATGGCGCAGTGGTAGTTAACCTCGGCTCTGGCGGGGCCATGGCCTACACACCCGAGAAGCACAACCCTTTCTTTCCAAGGTAAGGAATGATCGAGATGGAAATGTGATCTCCTTAGACGAATTCCTGATTCCATTGAAATTTCTCTTCTTCGATCGGGTCATGGATGCAAAGGTCCTATAGATCATTACATGTAGATTCCTTCCCTATCTTCAAGATTAGATCAGGGAATTTTTTATTCTGCTGGAGAATTGGATTGAACATATGGGCAAGATTTGATGGTTGGGATGAGCCCTTATCGGGTGAGACTTGAGGAGAGGAAGTTTAAAGCCAATGTAATTGCTGCAGTTTTTCCTGAAAGAAAGTGTAGAATGGGATCTTTTTATCCTCTAAAAACAAAAGAATGGTTGTTATATATATATTTTTTTCTACTTCCTACATTATATCAAATCTCTGTTTTTAAGATACAATTTATCAGATCTTTTATGATAGTTTTTATATTGCTTGCTGTTTTTTGATAGCACCAACAATAACACTAGTTGATCCTAATTCTTCCCTTCTGCAGATTTCTTGCTGTTGTGGATAATGTATTTTGCTTGTTCCAAGGGCATGTTGAGAATATTGCTTCTCTGAAGCAACTATATGGATTGGGCAAGACCACCAATGAAGCGATCATTGTAATTGAAGCCTATAAAACATTAAGAGATAGGGGACCATTCCCTGCAAGCCAAGTTGTCAGAGATCTCCGAGGACATTTTGCATTTGTTCTGTTCGATATCTCATCAAACTCCACCTTCATTGCGGCTGTAAGTATTACCGTGTTAGCTGTTTTTTTCATACCTCTATCAGATCATTCAAGTGCTGGTGGCACTGGATAACCATGAACAAAGAACACTTGAGATCACAGCATGAGGTCAAGCGGTCATGGAATGGTCACTATTGTCACAGTTATATGCCCACATTGCATAAACACATCCGCTCGTGTGCTCCCCACCCACTGAACTAATGTGCTTGACTTTGTACTTCCATTTCAGTTAGTTCAGTGAATTTATCATTCCTCAAAGTTTCAATTCCTGTCCTTGTTTCTTAAGAAGCATAGAACTGGGAATGCTAGATGATCACACATCAATGGGAATGCCTCGAAGTTTCAATTCATATTAGAATGTGGATTTTTCTTTAATTAATGTGCATCTCTGTCTGTTTTCCTTTTTTGATCACACATAGATACATTTCCTTTGACCCATGCTTTATAAGTTTTTGTATATTTCCTATTATTTATATTTGACTTGTGATGATGTTTTTTCAAGTTTGACAAGCTTAAGTTGTCGCCTTTACCTAAAGCTATACAGATGGGATTTAGCATAGTCCATTTAGTACACTAGAAAGATTACCTGAAAGTGCTAGTTATTATAGGCTCATCTTGAAGCTTTTTGTATGTTGTATTCAGGAAAAGGTTCTTGAGCATGTAATTGACCTGAAAAGTAAACATACAATAAAATAAGAAAATATTGCATGCACTTGATAATAGATGGGAAGATTTGGATCAGCCAAGTTGGATCGATGAACAGGATTAGTCAATCCTACAAACTTTTGTGAGATTGGTGAACATATTGCTCATAAAGTTGGAGTGGATTGATTAGAATAGAGAAGGGCATTTAGTTGAACTGTATGCCTATGCCTTTTTTCTCTTTTAATTTGAAGGAACACATTAGTCTGCTATACCTTGTCGATTTCAATGTGAGCAATTGAGTAGAAACAACATATCCATTTTGGTGCTGGTAAAGAAGGATATTGGGCTGGTAAATAAGTAATTCCTTTAAGAGGGTTGGAATATATTCAAAAATCTTCTGAATGCATAATTAGTTTTCCATGTATACAGGCATGCATCCCCTGCGTTTTATTTGCGAGTTCCAAAAGCACTCCCTTTTAGCAAGTAGCAACGCTTTTCATTGTCAAGTAGTAATGCTTGTTAGTTTCATGCACTGTCATTGTATGCCAATTTATCATACTTGTAAATGTACCCTGAGGAGTTATCAAAGTTTTGGTATGTAATGGTAGTGCTAATTCTGTATTTATTATCACTTATATTAGCAGCTAATGGTACTGCAAGTTCTGTATTTTTTTGAGTTTATGCTCACCAAACAATCCTATGCTGAATCTCTCTCTTTTTCTTTCTCTAAATTTAGGATGCTGATGGGAGAGTGCCTTTCTTCTGGGGAGCTGATTCAGAAGGTCATCTTGTACTTTCTGATGATGTCGATATTGTCAAAAAGGGGTGTGGGAGATCATTTGCACCATTTCCTAGAGGTACGATCTATAGAAGAATTTAGAGCTACTGTTTTGTGTTCATTATGCATGTTGCTTTTGTTTTAATTAAACATATATATATTTTTATTTTTATCTCCTCGTTATTTATCTTATATTCTTCCAGGTTGCTTCTTCACTACCTCTGGGGGCTTGCAGAGTTTTCAGCATCCTCTGAATGAGCTTAAAGCAATACCAAGGGTTGACAGCCAAGGTCAGGTTTGCGGTGCCATCTATGAGGTTGATGACCAGACCAAAAGAGAAACCAGGATGCCTCGAGTTGGCAGCACTGCAAATTGGTCCTCCCATTATTAACTTTGCAGCCATCATCCTTCAATAAGCCATTGCTGCTTTGTTGTTCATGGCTAACAAGCCATGAACCCTTAGCATGTAACATTATTGTGGATATTCTGATGGAACTGTAGTTTTTCTTAACAGTTATTGCTCTCCCTGTTCTAAGTGGGAGTTAAAGTTTCACCATTAGCATCATGTTTCAATAATGAGAGAAATAAAAAATATTTATGTGATTTTGCTTTAAGTTTGTTTCGCATCAGTTTGGCGTGCATATCTGGCGTCATTGTTGTATGACTAGGCTCTTCTTGAAGGCCAATGTGTGCTTGAACGTGGCCCAATCAGCCCTCGGAAAGGACAATGTATCAGACACTTCGTGATATATCCAGATGAACCGTGGGACAAAGCGGACGGACCAAAACATGTTAAGCTCCCCATCCACTCCCGCCCCTCCTCCCCTCCTCTCTCCTCCACCGCCACCTCTTCCCCTTCCGAAATTCCACCACCACCTACTCCTCCTCCCAGTCCGCCGACGCCGCCTCCTCGCCTCCCTCACCGCCCCGCTTCTCCAGCTCCTCCTCGTTTCCCCCTCCCCCGCCCGCGCCCGCGGCCTCTTCCGCATGCCTCCCGCCCGCCTCGCCAACCGCTACTTCCTGGTGCGCGCCGGGGAATCGGTCTACGAAACCGCCGGCGTCCTGCGCACCAACCCCGTCGCCAAGACGTCTGTCGACAGCGGCCTCTCGCCCGAGGGCGCGAGGCAGGCCGCGCGGGCTGCCCTCGAGCTCAAGCAAATGGGGGCATGCGAGGATAGCTGCTGGATTTGGCCCTCCATCACCCAGCAGTCCTATCAGGCCGCCGAAATCATTGCTTCCGTCAACAGTATCGATCGCAGGTCGGTCCATCCATCTTCTCTGTCATTTAAATCAGTGCTTTAGACACCCACACGTAAAACCCACAGAATCCCAGCATTCGACACATGTGGAGGTAAATGGTTCCAGATTGCAGGGTTTCTTTTTGGGTTTTCTCTGCGGGTGCAAAAACGTCTCTCTCTTTTAATACCGCACAGAGATTGTCCAACATCAATAAAGGAATATCTTTGTTTTCCTGTATTGTTGCTTGTATTGTAGTCGGATCGTGCCCGAGTACAGCTTTCTTGATGCTCGAGGACTGGGAGCATTCGAGGGAAGAAACTTAGGCTCTATATCTGAGGTATGGAATCATTCATTGGCACTCAGAGAATAACTGAATATGATTTCTGGAGTAAAGGAAAAGAATTTTTTATACGAGAGCTTATATTTGTTTGGTTAAGGCTGCGTCCTTGATGCTTGACATTGCAAAAGGTTGGCAATTTGATGTCTGGTAATAGTTGGGTTATTGGAGAATATTTGGAGTAGAAGAACTGATATAAAGAAAAAAAATAAATGGAAATATTATAGAACTTTTTAGATAATAATATGCTTGAGCATTAATATCATGAGTGTTTGTATCAATCATGCAAAACATGGTTACAGTCACTTCACCAAAGGAAGAAATGATTAAAGAACTTTGTAGTTTTGGAAAATTTTCTATGCATTTTCAGTTCTATGTAGCATAAGAATGTAATGTTATCAATAACTGGGCATGGTAGCTTGTGTTTTCCTTGCAGTTCATTAGTTGATGCAATGCATGAAGAGTTTGGTAGTTTATATAATCCCCTAAACCATGCATTTACCTCAGATAATTTTATTGAAACCATGTATCTTCTTACTTTTGCTGCATGAAAAAGAAGAAATGCAAGCCTACAGAACAATTCCAGGCCACTAAATGCTCTTACCTTTTTGCCTTGTCCCTCCTCAAGAATTGTGAATGTGTTGTCAGCCTAAAATACCTACCTTTTGTTGGTGGTGGTGGTTTTGGACATTAGGTGTGCTTCGTCTCTTTTTCTGATTATCTTGGCAAGATGTTCACAATCTTATTTCTTCTTTGTTCTTGTGTTTTTTTTAATCATCATTAGTTCCCATCTCCCATGTCCTGAAGCAACTTCCAAGAAATTACATGTCAAATTTTGTTTCACATTGTTCTTCTGTGTATTCTTGATTCAGTAATACCTAGTCCATATTAAATGGTGTCTAAAACATCATAGCATTTGCATGGAGTTTTACCTCACTAATACAATTGGACTTTTAAAAAAATAGCATGTTAAAAGAATCTACATGCCTGTGCTTTGCATGAATTTTATCTGTATTAAGACTACAGGGCTGGTTTCCAAGACCACCAAGTCCATTTTATAGCCAAGCAGATTCCCTATGTGCAAATGGTGTCTCCACTGGAATCGGCATACAGAGAGACCTTAAATTGCTTGCATGGAACTTGTGAGGAGGGATATGAAATGTTTAATTTTGCAATGTTGATAGCAACAGACTTAAAATAGGCATCAATGAGCTGACCTATGTTGATATCTTAAAGCAACTCAAATCGAACTGGTGTTTACAGAACAACCAAGAACCTATTAACCTTAATGGATGTCCTTGATTGAGATTTTTCATTTTAACTTTTGACAGATATGCTGCAGGTTTATGAATCAGATAGTCTTTCTCCTGATAATAAACCCCCTCCGGTTGATGATGGAACACCAAATGAGAGTGTGGCAGATGTGTTTGTCAGGGTAACACAACTCATGTCAATACTCGAAACACAATATTCTGGAGATACTGTAATTATTGTTTCGCCAGATTCAGACAATCTATCAGTTCTACAAGCAGGCTTAGTTGGACTTGACTTACGCAGGTATCAACAATGTTTTGTAATGTTATGTTAAATATGATCCATGGCATCTTCCACTTTCTTTGTGACCATAACTTTGATAAATTTATCCAGTTGCTGGGTATCATTCTGATAACTTAGTGATGTCGAGCTACACAGCTAACAACACCTTTTCATGCAGGCACAGTGATCTGTTATTTAGCCCTGGTGAGGTCAGGCCCGTGGATCCAAGTAGCATACCTGACTACAAGCAACCAGCTTCTGCTGTTTACAAGTGTGCAAACCCTCCAAGTTGTAAATGACTTTTTTTTAGCTTGTTGGATAGCTTCATGTGGCATCTCATCCTAAGGTATAAGATAGACATCCAATTATCTATATGTGGTCTTCAATTTCTTCTGGTCATTCATGTGGTATGAGTTTTCGTCGTTACAGTAACAGCATTCATTCTGCACAGTTTTTGAACAGCAAAGATCGACCAAGGACTTTGCAGGCCAATAATTGTGGCCATTTTCCATTGCAGATTCAATCATCATCCTGTGCAAGACCAGCCCGTATGTTCCGAATAATTTTCTTACTATTGAGAGTTCAGTAGCTCATCTTTATTTGCTTAACTTCGAGAGTTAATGTTGTCTTGTTAGACCCACACAAAGCCACCTTCCTCAATGTTGTGGTGGCATGCCTTTGGAGAATAAAAGCCTGTAAAGGGCATCCATGGCTTTCCTCCCATGCATGTACCCCCTCTTTTGTTTGTTTGCTTCCTACCACTGCAGAGACGTACTTGTTTGCTTGGCTACTGCTCCTGCAATGAAGTACCTATTTGTTTCCTTTCTGCAGTCTCTTTCACAACTGTGATATATATGTGCAGCACAGCTTGTCTTCCCAAGCAGCCCAACTGGACTCGACCTCTTTTGCAGTGAGACCCTGCCTACCTGTCACATATTGACATCTGAATTGGGTGCAAACTAGCTTTTTAAAGCTCCCAAACACAATAATACCAATCTCTTTATCTTTCCACACCTGATTTCCACAATCTCGCTTTCTGCCCAACACCCCATAGGTTGAATAACATCTTTAAAGCTTCCAATTTTAGTGACAAGAGACCCAGAGCTCACATAATATGATCAACTTTGTCTTTGCCAGAAGACAGTCTTTTACTAAGCATTTAGATCCCATAGCTTCGGTTAGTTCTTTCCCCTGTATCAGATGAACACGCGATCGAATCTTTGCGTGTGGGCCCAAAACCCAAACCCCTTCTCCGCTAAGTAACGACACATGGAAAAAGAAAGCGTATAAGGAAATTCGAATATTAATGATAGGAACGATTAAATTCCAACTCACGACTCGAAGGGTGAAGGAAGAGCGAAGGAGCGATGACTTCGCCTCGCCGGTCTCCTATGCGAGACGCGGAGAATTCGACCACGCCGCTGTCTCCGCCGGCAAAGACACCGTCGAGACCCCAAACTCCGGCGCGAGAAGACAGACCCGTGGCCTCCCCTCTCCGATCGCTGGTGTCTTCGCCGGCGAAGACACCGTCGAGACCCCAAACCCCGGCGCGAGAAGACGGGCCCGTGGCCTACCCTCTCCGATCGCCGCTGCGGCGCGCCGAGCTCCCGACCCCGCCGCGCACGCCCCCGGACGAACCAGCGCCGCCTCCGGCGGTCACGATCGCGAACCGGCTGACCCGGGACGGCGTCTCCCCGGCCGAGAAGGAAATTAGCGAGGGCGGCGGCGGAGTGCGGGCGGGGGAGGGGGGATCCGTGAGGGGAGCGCTTGGACTCCGGGTGGCGGCGTTCGTGCTTTCTATGATCGCCTTCTCGGTGATGGCCGCCGACAAGACCGACGGATGGGCGGGCGACTCGTTCGACCGCTACAAAGAATTCCGGTACAATACGCACTAACTGATACGCCGTATTCGTATATCAGCTTTGTTTTCATTCCCCACCGTCGACACCATCTCTGCAGATACTTGGTGGCGGTAAATGTGCTCGCCTTCGCGTACTCGGCGTTTCAAGTGTGCGAGAAAATCTACCGTAAGATCTGCACGAGGCATATCATGAGCCGTCGGATGGGTTGCTACTTCGATCTCTCGATGGATCAGGCAAGCCGGAGTCTAGTTTTAAGAAACTTCTGTTGCAGGGTATCAATGAATGCGTGTTGCTCTCAGCTGACCCAGCGATCGTGATGGCTAAACTAAAGCAGAACACAAGTAAAATAAAAGAACCAAGGAAAATAGCAGGAAGAACACGAAAGAAAACCGCCCATGTTGTCATGGATTCCCATGTCACGTCATGAGCAATTGGTATTAGTTGCAGGCCGGGTTTGGTATTACATTTCTTGTTCTTTTCTCGTAGAAGTCAAAACTAGAATAGGAGGCGGTGCCATGGACAATGATATAATTAACGTTTGTTTCTTAATATTATTTAGATTTGTTTAGAACTTTGGAAAGTAGGAATTTAATATTTGATTTGATTTCAACTGTTATTTCCCTAATATGCAATTTGATGATTTTAATGGAGCGGCGAAGAATTCAGTGACCAACTAAACATGATATGGCCAGTGTCAGTTGGTCTCAAATACTGTGAGGTTGCAACATGTTGGAAGTGATTAGTACCCTTCCTTCATCGAGAAGATGCCTGTAACAGTATCATCTGCTTCAGCTATTTCTATCAGTGCCATTAAGCGCCTTGGTTGCTGCAGATACTGGCGTACCTTCTGATGTCGGCATCGTCAGCGGCAGCCTCTCGCAACGACGTCTGGGTATCAAGATTCGGGAGCGACGGATTCACTCACAAAGCCAACGCTTCCATCGCCATGTCCTTCCTCGCGTTCGTCGCCCTTGCTCTGAGCTCGCTCGTCTCTGCTTACAAGCTGTTCGGAAGGAGTTCTTGAGAGGGAAGCAGAAATTTTGAATGATGTAAATTTGTCGTGCATAGCAATACATCCAAAGACATCACTTTTCTTTTTTCTTTTCAGATTTGTTCCGTCGCGACTTACATAAGTGTATGCTTACTCGACATTTCCATAAGAAATGTTTGGGGGATCGCCCCTTTTTGCTGCCTGCAGGTGTGCTTGAGCATGAACAGAGTAAGCTAAATGTATCATACATTTTAGTTCAAAGGGCAAAAAAGAAAAGCAATTAATTATTTGGATAAGGAATGATCTAATGCACGGGACTTCCAATGATAGCAAATTTGGGATGATTAATTATTTGTTTGAGGAAAATGATGGGTTTTTTTTGCAATTTGAAGTGGCAAATTGACTCGTTTCCTATGACTCTGTTGAGGATAATAATGGCGACAAGACTCGGGCTGACGTCAGTTGTCCCAGATGATGTCTCACGCCTCGATCGATCCGACAACACTTGGTCAAACGGATCAGAACGCCGCCCAAGGCACATTAACGTCGCTCGATCCCTCACGCCACGCCAACATCGATGTCAGACGCTATTAGAAGTACGATCATACTCCCTACAGGCAGGCACATCAGAAAACAGTAAGCTTCCCTATAAAAACCCTAGCGCTCCGAGGAGGAAGAGGAGAAAAAGAAGGAGACCACTTAGACAAAAAAACCTTTTAACCACTATCAACTGACTTGATCGTCGGAGGGGTCGGGTCGAGCTTCTCGACCCGACCTATGTGCAGGTGCGAAAACGAAGGTCTCCCACCATGCGCCTAGGCAAGGAGTTCACTCTCGGAGGAGACAACGCCCTCGTTTCAATCGGACCAATGCAACAGGCCATCTCAGCGGTCTCAAGGGCCGTCCCAGGAAGATCTTCATCATCCGAACCCGAATCAAACCGTGTCGGTCCCGAAACCACGGCTTAAAGTTATTTACACCAACCGGCCCAAATCACACATGATTCTGCAATTCCACGAAGACGACGATTCCTTTGCAGTGCCGCCGCTCACCCATAACAACCATCTTCCACCACGAGTCCTCCTTCCTGATGCACACAACTTATCCACACGTGGCAGCCGAGAAACAACCCGTTACGAGTGGAAGTTCACCCATGGTCACTGGAAGGTGCTCGCAGCCTCTTCACATTACATGCACGCAAGCCCCCGCTGCCACTTGCAGGTAAGGCGAGCCCGGTCGGTGAGATTAGTCGCAATGGAAACCCTGCTCGCCGCATTCATCCCCTCGAAGACCCTTTCCCTTCCCTTCCCCATTCAAACACCTTATCTCAGGCCTTTAGCCTCGATTCACTCGGTCTCCATTAGAGAGAGAACTAGCACAACGAGAAGCAGAGCAGGAAGAGTTCATAGGATTCCGCTTGTCAGAGCCTCTGCCAGTTCTTCTTCCACAGAAACAGTCACAGCTGTTTCAGAGATTCCGGCCAAGATGAAGGCCTGGGTTTACGATGATTACGGTGCAGCGGACCTGTTGAGGCTCGACGAGGGTGTCTCGGTCCCGGAAGTGAAGGAGGACCAGGTCCTCATCAAGGTCGTCGCTGCCGCCCTCAACCCGGTGGATTACAAGAGAAGGCAAGGGAAATTTAAGGCCACTGATTCTCCCTTACCGGTGAGTTCCGTTTCCCGTCAGTACCAATCTGTATTCTCTTTTCGTAGTATCTACCACTCCATGACAGATTGAAGCTTTCATTGGTAGCAGAATCGAATTGCGTAACATCGGAGAGGAATTTAAGCATATATTGTCGTCCAAGAAACAAAAAACACACACAATGAAGCAATCTCATCAGATGAAGAGGTCTTAATTTGAGTTATAGTTTAAGGTAGAGTTAAGTGTTGTGTCCATCTGCGGCCTCTGTATTGTGTTTGTGACAGAGGAGAAAAGGAAGGAGGAGACCTTGCATCATTTGCCTTGTATGAGGATGCATTACACACATTGCAGATTTCTGCAGAGCGAATTAGCAATTGGACTAAGAAACATAAGTTGAATGAATTATGGAAGATGTAATCAACCAGCAATCGTTAGTTGACCAATTAGATCAAATAAGTATTTGGTCCATCAGAAGTGACAGGTGGAAACCCAAAAGACTAGTAAACAAGGCCTAGTTTTGTTCAAAAACCAATAACTTTAAGAGGAAAAGCTAGATAAATGGTTCAGATAACATTATTTGCTTGTTGGTAAATTATTCTGAGAAGCCATCCAAATGTTGTGTATTCACATATAGCCAACTTGTAAAGTTGACTATATGTGAATACACAACATTTGCAATCAGAATTGCTAGAGATGGTGCATTTGGTTTATTTTTGGTATATCACATTTACCACGAGGATGCAAGGATTGGTCATAGTCGAATTTATTGAAGGTGCTTAAAGTGAGGCAAATGGAGCAGAAATACATTTCACACTCCAATAAAATAATAATTTGTAAGGAAATTGTGAAAATTTCAGTATGGGGATACAGATACAGTAGACAGTAAACATCATAGATGATCTTTACTGAAACAAAGCATCATCCAGGAGGTAACTTGAAACAACCAGATTATGTTATTGGAACATATGATGAAAGTATATGCACACTTCTTTGTTTTATACCATTATGCTGCTTCATAATCTCTTTTTGTTTTTTCTGTGGGCAGACTGTTCCAGGTTATGATGTGGCTGGTGTAGTTGTAAAAGTAGGAAGCCAAGTAAAAAACCTGAAGGTAGGAGATGAAGTATATGGGGACATTAATGAGAAAGCTTTAGAGAACCCAAAGCAGTTTGGATCACTTGCTGAGTACACATCTGTAGAGGAGAAATTGTTAGCTTTAAAGCCCAAGAACATAGACTTTGTACAGGCTGCTGGGCTACCTCTTGCAATTGAAACAGCCAATGAAGGCCTTGAAAGATCTGGGTTTTCTGCTGGTAAATCAATCCTCGTACTGGGCGGTGCCGGTGGAGTTGGTTCTCTAGTAATCCAGGTAACGTTCATTTCCATTTGTGTCTTTGATGAACTGTCCTGATTATTTTTATATTCAGGATCTAAGTAGGTCTTCTAGTCCTTTTCTGAATATTCCTTTTAGAAATGTCAATCTTCTACTGCTTTACTCAGACATGAAATAATTTCTTTTATAAGTTTTTTCCTATAATTTTAAACATTGGTGTTCTGACGATTTATTTCTGAATGAAACTACAGGTTTATATTTATTTGTCTGGCTTTCTTATTAATCTAATATTTTCATCTGGTGCAATTGAAAACTTTTGTGTTGTATAATTTCACTATATCAGTGCTTTCTCTTTATAAATGAAAACCACAATGCATAATTAATGTTGCGGAACAAAGAATTCTTGGCTGCTAACATGTGTGAGTAGGAGAATTTCGCACAGTCAAAGGAAATTATGAATTGAGCTAGATATTTAGTAGGTTTTTGGCCCATAATATCAATCCCAAGGAATTAATGATTTAGATAAATATATAGGCTCTCCAAACTAGTGTTTCAGAGTTGTGACTTCTTTTTTTGTTCTTTTTTTTTGCTTTTCGCAGCTAGCTAAGCATGTTTTTGGTGCATCAAGGGTTGCTGCTACAGCCAGCACAGGAAAATTGGATTTACTGAAGAGCCTAGGAGCTGATTTGGCTATCGACTATACCAAGGAGAACTTCGAGGAATTGCCAGAGAAATTTGATGTGGTATACGATACTGTTGGTAGGCATACATACTTCATTCATCACTCTTACTCTCTGAATGAGGAAAAAAAAGAAAAGGAAATTTCATAAAATAAGATGGTTACTTAGTGATTTCTTCCAAACTTACAAAGCTATGCAACTCGGTTTTCAACCCAACATAAAGTTGAATGCAAAATTCAGAAACAAAGTTTAGGGAATAAGGATACACTTTAGAAGATTTCTCATCGAACTATGGTTTAATTGTTCAAGAATTTATAAAAAGTTCCATGGTACTTCTTTTGTGAAAACTATCACATTCAGGTCTCCCTGTGCTCCTCTTAGGCCAGACAGGTGTATCTTTGCTCTACGTTCATAATCCTTTATGGTATTAATGCATATAAAGGCATTTTATCAATTGTAGTATATTGCATATGATTTCAGATCAAGGCTTAACAATCTACGCATCTTTTTCCGCATACATTTGTATTCGCTTGTAGCTTACCGCGTGCAAGAAAATTCATACTTATCATTAGAAGTTACTGGAATTATTTCAAATTTTGCTGATATTGGCTTTTGCTTCACCGGATTCGGGAACAAATGCTGCTTTTGATTGCAGATGTTGCATAAATCTTCGTCTAACGTAACAATGTTGGATGCCAATTTATGCACAGGTCAGTGTGAGAAAGCAGTGAAAGCGGTGAAAGAAGCCGGCAGCGTGGTGGTGCTGACTGGTGCCGTGACACCACCAGGCTTCCGATTTGTTGTCACCTCTGATGGGGCTGTTCTGTCAAAGCTGAATACTTTCATCGAGGACGGGAAAATTAAGCCCGTAGTGGACCCAAAGGGTGCATTCCCTTTCTCTAAACTAGTGGAGGCATTCACCTATCTTGAAACTGGGAGAGCAACTGGGAAAGTGGTGATTCACCCAATTCCATGAAACACAGTAGCAGTTCTCATTCTAGGAAGACCAATAAAATGAGGTATATGCCATGAGAGTTCAGTACTAGGAAAGACCAATAAAGCTGCTTTAGAAGAAGGCTCTTCTTTTGGCTACAGAGTTGTAATTCCTATCGTTCTTTCATACTGTCTACGTGGTTAATTGAGTATTGCTGTTTTGCTTCATCATGTTGATTGCTGATGGATTTACTTGAGCCTTGAGAGAAAGATCAATTGCACGCCTCTCAATGGCAGGAGGATAATTTTATTGGAAACTAAATTTTAAGACATCATTTTTCTCGAGGCTGAACATTGTTTAAGTGTTATGGAAGAATGTTCATCTCTACAACGAAAATGGTACATCTTTTCAGGTTTTACCAAAAAAATATTTTTTTGTTAAGAAAACAAACACACAAAAAGAAAACATAACGAGAAAACAAAAACAAAGCGACCGAGGCCATTCGCAATGGCGAAGAACCCGACCACGTTTTGCATGTACGGCAAGAACGGCCGCCCGGCGCCGCGTTTCGCCGCCTGCCTGCTGCCTTTGCCAGAGGACACCTGGTCGCCGGTGACCATATCCCACTCGACCCGCCTTCTCGGTTTCCCAGCCTCCTTCTTCCCCTCATCCTCTCCACTGTCGTCCTCTTTTACCGCGTCTGTCTCCGCCGAATCACGTCGAGGGTTTCGTGGTGAACACCCTCTCTTCTGCTCCGCGGAGAGGAACACGAACTTCTCCTTCCCGTCGCTCTGGCTCCGCCTCTTTACTAGGTAGCGGATGCGCCACCGCCGCAGGGACCGCCCCTGCGCGGGCGCCTTCGGCTTCCTCGGCTCCCAGGCGCAGTACGTGCCCGGCGCGACCCGCTCCAGCTCGTCCACCTCCGACGACGACGACGTCGAGTCCAGGCTGGAGACCCGCTGCTGATCATTGCCCGACATCCGGCGGACCAGCTCTCGATGCGCGCGGCCATCGGCAGGGTAGAGAGTGCGGATGCGGCCGTCGAAGAAGATCTCGTCGGCGGCGGCCTTTTCTTCGCCGTTCTCGGGATCGATGAGCACGAGGGCGAATTCGAATTCGCACTCGTCCTGGTCATCCTCGCACTCCTCCTCGCTACCGTCGTCATCTCGACGAGGCGGTTCTGGAGGGGAGGGGCGGCCGGGGAGATGGTCTTGTGTGAGTCGAAATGGACGGCGGGGATGCTCCTGGGGGTGTTGCGATGGGCGGCGGAGACGCAGCGATCACTTCTAAAAGGCGGGCAAGGCATGAGGGCAGGTTCGACTCTCGCTTGCATTGACTGTCGGTTTCCGCGTCCTCTTTGTCTTCAGTTTGGGTTTTTTTGGTGTTAGTGATTTGGCTGTGTTTGGTGTTATATCGGCGACTGGAGATGGGAAGCGGTGGAGCGAGCCACTCGGAGAGTCGGGGCCGGAGAGCGTTTTAGGGCGTCAAGAAGACCGAGCCACCTCCGAGGGATGGTCGACGGTCTTTTAGGTCTCAATCCCTCTCCCTATTATTGTACATATCTAATCATTCTTTCTCAAAACAATTTGCATATATATATATATATATATATATATATATATATATAATGTTTATGCTAACCCCTATAATATATTTCTCTAAAATTTAAGCTAGCACTTAGGTTACACATTTTCCCCTCTAATTTGGAGCTACGATTGTATTTTTATAGGTCCCGAAGTATCTTTTGATCTTTCTAAAATATTCTTATGAATATTTCACAGGAGATTTCTTCTGAGTAATTAACTCAAACTGTTTTCTAATTTTCTGAAAATATTCTTATAAATATTTCATAAGAAAGTCGATTTGTAATCCAACCAAACTGTCATATGGTCTTTTAATAATATTCCTATAAATATTTTGTAAGGGAGCCAATTCTAAATCGAATCAAATCGTCTGATCTTCTAGGAATATTCTTATGAATATTTTGTAGAAGAGTTGTTTCATAACCAACCTAAACTGTCTTATGGTCTTTTGAGAATATTCCTATAAATATTTTATCGAGGAGACAACTAAGCAACTCGGTAACTTACCCGAGCGACCTTTTGGACTTCAATCTTTGTGGGCAGAAGAGTGTTGGCTTGATATGGCATTGATGTGATGAATGATGGCTATCATTTGTCCTCCCGAAAGCATGCTTCGAAGTTTCTAGGGTTCGGAGCACATCTTCTTGGTCTTTATGTGCTTTGAGCATTCTTGCCTCGTACCTTTACGACAGATTTTATCGGGTGTCGGTCGAGTTTTCGTACCTTGTGCACCTCGGGTACTTTTCTTAGTTTGATTTTTTGCTATAACGAATTTATTCTTATGTGGGTCAGGTTTACTTGACTCACGCATCTTGGGTGCCTTCCTGGCTCGATTTTTCATCGTAGCAGATTTCTTCTTATGCGAGTCTGGCGTGCCTGACTCACGGGCCTTGAGCGCCTTCCTGGCCCATTTTTCTACCATAGCATATTTCTTCTTACACGGGGTCGGGTTTGCTCGACTCATGCGCCTTATGCGCCTTCTTGGCTTGTTTTTTCGTCATAGTAGATTTCTTCTTTTGCAAGTTGGTTTCGCTTGACTCACGCGCAGTGGGCACCTTCTTGACCCTTTTTTTCGTTGTAGTAGATTTTTTCTTACACGGGTCAGGTTTGCCCAACTCATGCGTCTTAGGCACCTTCCTAGCCCATTTTTTCGTCATAGCATAATTATCCTTACGTGGGTTAATTTGACCCACGTGCCTTTTCGAAATGATCCCAATGATGTACTTTGTCTTGGTTGTGGAATGTGACTTTGTGTGGGAGTGGAAGACCGTCTTACCTTAATTGGGGCCACGTAGTCATGGGCTGGATTCCACATATGGCACCAGGAAGGTGCACCCATGAGGTGTTGCCCGAGGAGCTGGGTTCGACCCAATCGAGCCAAGACGTAGGCACTAATCGATCGAGAAAGAGGTATAAAGTAGTCGTCAGGAGGGGCCCCCATCTTCTAAGTAGGAGGAGGTCTTAGGGGTCCATCGTGAGTGGAAGCCCAGTTTCGTTAGCGTCAGAGCTTGCGAAGAGCCCTATTTTGGCAGTGCTAGAGCCTGCGGAGAGTCCCAAGGGCCTCAGGTCTCCCTTGGGCCATAGAGAAGAGGGGTCAAGGTCGACGATTGACCTATGCAATAGGAGATCTCGACCCTTCATTGCTTCGATGATAGCTGACTTATCTATTTCGATTTTAGGCTCCCCATTACAACCAAGATCGAGAGGTCGGCAGGAGGAGCAAAAGTTATGGGATGAAGGCAAAGCCTCGGAGCAGTACTATTGGGGATCTCTTTGTCTAGGTCTGGCAAAACAAATCTATCTCTCCCCTTCTAAAGAGTTACTCAATCAAGGTTATTGCTATGAAGTACTAGTAAGCAAAGACACTCAATTCGAAGCTTGAGAAGAAGACTAGTGTGGCGAAAGAGTGAGCTTGGGAGCTCTGGGAGATACTGGAGGTTGAGCGAGTCAAGGCATCGAGGTATCAAGAGGAGGCAATCACTAAGTACAAGGCATCTGTGAGATTTAAAATAGGGTTGGAAAGGTCGGGGGTCACCTCATATCAATTTGGATATTTGATCGCCTTAACCCATTTCAAGGTATGATATCTAAGACTAGAGCTTAAGGAGGACCCGTTCACTGACTACCCCGAAGACCAGGGCATCTAGATAGAAAGTAAGATAGCTTTCGTTGATAACCTCAACTCGCCGCCTTGCTTGGGCCTTTGATTTGATGCAACATTCTTTTGCCTTTTTATAGATCGATGTCTAAATTTGTTTGTGAAGACCCGATCTATCTACTATAATTTTCTTTCTTGAGGAATGGAAAAAGACACTTTCTACTAACTTAAAGTGTACCTCGATCAGACCCCGAGGGGAGGGGGGGCTCAAGGATAAAACTTTTTTAGGTTAGAGATATACCACATTCTTGATAATGTCCCACCTTCTGTTGTTCCGAGGCGATAAGTTCATTTACGATCCCAAGGAGGAAGATTAAGTCGCATGTATCAATCATGACCCTTTTTATGCAGGCGTTGACCATCCTTACGGTGACCATCAAGGCGTCATCATAGTTTGGGTCGAGGCATTCTGTTTCTTCCTTTTTGAGAGTTACTTGTTGTTCGCCCTTGGTCCTGAGGCGCTTGCCAATGATGGCTCGAGCATAAGCTTTGCGACCCAATGTGTTGTCTCCTCCTGAACCGGGCCGTCGATAATGATGTTTATCTGTTTTTTGATCGACCCCTAAAGTCAGGGTGATGGTTTTTGACGTCTTCGAACAAACCACCTAAGGTGTCCTTGTCGTATAAGTACCTCGATCTGTTCCTTCAAGTTGTGACAATCCTTTGTATCATGACCATAATCGCAATGGAAATGGAAATACCTGGATTTGTTTCTCTTTTCGAGTAGAGTCCTCATTAGTCGAGGGTCTCTCAATAAGCCTCTTTTCCTTATCTACAAGAAAACTTTCGTCTTAATCAAATTCAGTGGGGGTTAGTTCGAATCGCTAGTGAGGCAGGTCGAGTCGTTTACCTCTCCTCCACCATGGCGATCTTGGGGTGGGGGCGAATTATGGTTGCTCTTATCTCGCTCTCTTGTGAGGTTCCCCACACTTGCTTGAGACCATTGTATCAACGGTAATGTACTAATTGGCTTTTTGAAGTACTTCAAGCATCGTTGTTGATGTTCTTTCTACCAATGATCAAAAGAGGTGGGAGAGCTTTAGTCACATCATGAAGGACTGAATCACGAGTGAGTGGTCTCGGGCACACATTCCCAAGGAAGTGGAGCTCGAACTCCTTCACTAGTTGAGCGAAGAAACTGATAGAAAGTGGTTTTATATGAGCATACCATTCTCTTATCGAACCCTTTAAGGTGGTTGGGAAGGCAGAGCACATCAGGGCGTCCGAGGTGTCATGCAACGACATCTAAGTTCGGAAGGCAGTGATGTGCTCCACTGGGTCAATAGCACCATCAAAGGTTTCTAATAACGGGAAGGAAAAAATTTTGTGGGGATCAGCTCCTCTTATATGTTCTGAATAAACGGGAACTGACCTAATGTAGAGTCAATCTGCTCCTCACCCTTGGATTGGTGGAAGTCGCAACATATTTCTTCTAGGCGTCGATCCATTTGTCGTAATCGGATCCTTGAGGAGTTAACTGTCGAGTCGGTCGAGTCGGACTTGGACTCAAGCGGAGTGGAGCAGCGGTGTGGTAGCCCACCGAATTCTACAATTATGGAGCAGGGAGCTCTCTTAGCTGATGGTTCGATAGGTCATGGATGCTCGAGAGGGGCTGGCAGATTATTGGGCAGAAGGATCTCAACGAACACCAACATCGATGGCTGAGACAATGGCATCACTTGCTGATCTGACCGAGGTAGGAGTGGGGCAACCACCTATTTTATGCCAACTAGTGCTTGCATATGCTGGATGAGATTCAAGAGCGCCTCGGTAGGAACGAGGAGATGGTCAGGCGACACTCATGAAGATGAAGGTCTAGGGTCTTTAAACAAACGCCAGTACTATAGTGGTACTTGCAACGAGGTGAATGTATCTATGTGGGGGAAACGTGGGTGCTTTCCAGTCTAAGTGAAAGTATCATGGGTTGGAGATAGTGCCTCACCCGGATGTTCATGGACAGGGTTGGCCTGTCGGCGCTCCTACGATATCGGGCCCTCCTTCTAGTGCCAAAATGTTAGGGAAAAATATTGTTGAGGTATGTGTCAACACCATCTGGCGTTGATCCGTATGTGAGGAGCCATCCAGGATAAAGCGAGGTTTCTCTAGTCTCATTCTTGCACAAAAACCAAAGTCGAAAAGGGTTTCCTAATCCAATCTCTCTTATGCTTAAGTTAGCACTTAATTGCACCTTCATCCTTAATCTAGAACTAAGGACATATTTTTATACAAACATCAAGGGGAGAGAATAACTTATAATGATCCTAAAGAAGATAGTTCGTAACCATCCCAAACAGCCTTTTGATCTTCCTAAAATATTCCTGTGAATATTTTGGCAAGGGAGCCGATTCATAATCAAATCGAACTGCCTTTTGATATTCTGAAAATATTCCTACGAATATTTCATAAGGGAGCCAATTCATAATCGATCCAAAGCCTTATAATCTTTTGAGAATATTCTGCAAGGAGACAACTTGATAATTCATTTGAGAACATTCTACCGAGGAAACAACTCGATAATTAACTCGAGCTATTTTTGGACTTTGATATTTGACATGATGAATGATGATGATTAACTAATTTTATATTCTCTATCACCATGCATAATTTTTTCTTAATACTGCTCAAATTCATACAATTTCTAAAACAATCATCATGCCTTCGAGGTGGACATAATAGTTGCCTTAACATTACTTTATTGACAAAGGGAAACCAAAAACACAAATTCCAAGTGTCTCGATTTCTCATAGACCTAATAAGTTGGACCCACACGTGTACAAGATCCCCTTTCATCATTCACAAAGATAACTAACTATAAATGAAGGGCAAATTTACTGATATTTTGACTAGAAGAATTTCCTGGGTTTCTCGTTGGATATAGAAGCAAAAAAAAAAAATTCAGAAACTACTCTAGTGTGAATACAACAAGAAATCAAAGTGGCACACATGATTTTGTCTTCCGATTCCAGCAGTCTAAGATCACAGTAATGCTGTTGACTGCTCAGCAAGCTGCTTCTCTATATACTTTCCATCATCTTGTATCATGAGAATCCTAGCAGGAAACAGATTGATCCACCATGATGTTTAGTATCACCATATCCTGATACTATAAATGGTTGGCATGCTTTATAAAATTCCAGTTGCAATGCTGGAAGTTGCATGGATCTTCAAAGAATGCTCTGGCACGAATGTCAGACCTGCCATGTTGAAAAACACTACTGACACATCAATTATCACAATCAAACATTAAGTCTTCTAACAGAAAAAAAAAAAAAAAACAAAGCTACTAATATATTTTATATTAGTATTTTTTGACTACTTAATTTCTTATGTTTTTAGGTTACATTGATGTGGGCATCGAAATGATATTTCTCCTTCAAAGAGGACAGAAAGGGATGCAATTCTTTATCCAGCCAATAGGATCTCTGAAGAATATCCAACTCTCCCAAGAAACCCCCAACAAAAAACAAACTTTCAGTGGCAATGCAATTTATCTGATCACATGACAGAGCCTTCATCATTTCCACATGAAAACCATTCCTTCACAAACATACTTGCGTATTAAAGAAGTGCCCAAGTAAACCTCTAGCTATATTTTTCAGATAAGAACATCAGACTACATACACATGTTGCATCTACGGATATCCACACACTTGTTCGGAATAGTTTCCTTCTCTAGATAGCATCAGTGAGATATTATGAATGTCCAAATAGAGCACCAATGAAAAATTAGATTGTACTAATAAATAAATATTAAGAAAAGAAAAAGACAACCAAAACATGAAGAACATTTCTCTGTTTGATTGACATTCCGGTTGATATCTATATTGTTATGTTATAATACAAAATAGCAAGCTTAAATAAAATCTACAGCATGGTAAAAGAGCCTGTCATGCCGTTAACAAGCATAAAGGTCACAAACCAAAACATCAGACTCCAAGCCTGCTACCTCCAGGTTAGTTCCAAATGGAGGAAAAAAGGTTGATGGATGATAATGCTAATAGGCTCATGTAAGAAACAAATTTCACGAACCTGCCCATGCACTGATGGCAACAGAGTCTGTTATGTTTGATATTCAATTACCTTTTCATATACACAAATTACAGATTTTCTTATACATATAAGCAATCGAATACACCCATCCACCACTCAATTCGAAAAATAAAGCAAAACACAACTGAAATATGTCATAATGGACCAGACAGAAGAATAGATGAGATATAAGAAAAGCTTAGGCAAGACAAGATGCAGTCTTTAAGAATTCAGATAGTATTCTACACAACTTAGAAGAATAAAGGTGACATAAAAAGATCAAACTAATTGAAAACCATTAGTGGAATTAGTAAATAGGAGAAATCTGATTTAGGTGAGAATCCATAGTGATGAAATCTTCTGTATAAGAGAGCAAGTTTTACTGTGTAACTAATTAAAACATTAGAAAGCAATTGGAACAAGAGATGAAGAAAAGCACAAGTCTTGTGCATGCTTGCACATAAACATCAATATAAAGAGACAGACATTAATAAAGATATGTATCTCGTTCTCTATAGTAATGTTTAGATATATATATATATATATATATACAAAATACAACAATGTAGGCAACCGTAAATAACCATATTGTGATCAAGGATTACTGTACCGCTCGAAATGGTATGTTATGGGCAGTACATACTGGTCCGGGCATGGACCGATATGCGGACCACTCCGTTTCGGGTGGTCTGAATTAAAATAATAAAAAAATTGAAAAGTGGTGGGCCCTAGTGCATTTCAGCATTAAAAAAAAGGCAGATTAGGGCTCTTCTTGAAAAGTGGTCGGCCCTAGTCCTCTTCGCTGCTTCGCCGTTGCGATGCTGCAGCGGCACTACCTTCGCCATTGTGATGCTGCTGCTTCCCTTCGACGTTGCTGCTGCTTCCTGGGTATCGGCACTTCTTCCCCTCCTTTTCTTTCTTCTTTTTCCTTCTTCCTCTATTCTTCCACTAGACCTTCTTTTTCAACCTCTTTTTCTTCCTTGTCGAAACACTGGCATGCACCGGCGTACCATGTGTTAGAATGCTGGTACGCGGCGACATGTGCCATGCCGCCGATCGGCACACTGGCTTAGACTGATAAGTCAAACCTTGATTGAGACTACTAGCTATGGATAAGAAAAACCATTGTGTTGGTGGGTTTTTCTTTTTTCTATTGTATTTTTTGTGAGAGAAGGGAAGCCAACGAATAACTTATATATTAAAGCAAGTATTGTTGTAGCTAGTTACCCAACAAAAGCTTACTGCACATCTGGCCGTTGTTCTCACATTCAAGTGATATTTCTTCCACAACTTGTTGATTTAGTCAATTAAACATTAGAAACTTACTGACCATATCACCATGCATGAGAAATATCTTTCTAACCAACAGAGCTTCCCCTTATATTTCTCAAAGGCACAGATTATTGTCGTTCTAATTGGACTCATGCATGAAAAAAAATCAAAGTTCTAAATCAATGCTAAACAAATTTTACGAGAGAAATACCTTTCTCCTTAACAGCTATCTGCAGAGTATCAAGCGTAATTATCCCATCAGTCAAAGGGAGAAGCTCAAGCTTCACAGTGGCACTTGAACGTGCAGGAATGCATCTGTAATGGAATGGTATCAAAAAGATAAGCTTTTATACTACAAGACTTTATGTACAATGGGGACTATAGATAATATTACCCAAGGGGAACAGCACTCTGCAACCATAAATGTGTAAAGCCTGCGCTATTACTTAATATGACATCAGACATCATAGCAGTCCGTTCTACAGAACTTGATGTTTTTCCATCATCACAGCTTTCTTTCTGGGATTTGGTTGCAATAGGCACTGAACTTCCCACATAATCATGAAAAGTGGCATGTGAGTTCATTGGAGTTCTCGGAGTAGAACTCAATGACAAAACTGAAGGAGAAGTTGGTATTTCTGGAGCAAGAACAGTAAATGTAAGATCTTCAGTTGTTAAATTTGTAGCTTTAAGGGTCAACACCTGAAAAAAATCACATGGCTGGAATTGTTAGATTATTTCAATAGTCCAAAAGTCACATAGGACTAAAACAAAGAACCACAAGAAATAAGTCATGATACCTTAACAGGAAGTTGAGGTGCCCTGGAATTTGGGATATCACTTTGTTTATGAGTTTCTGATGCTATGGAAATCATAAGATCCCTTGCAATATGTGGCCGCCAATCTGTTAGCTGCTTGAAGAACAATTTTGATTCTATGACCAAAGAAATTGCAAGATTCAAAATTAAACTATTAACAAAATGATCTTGAACTATGCAATTATGTCATCCAGGGTTCCTGTAGTACCAGTATAATTGCAATGACAAGATACCAAAATGGCGAACTGCTTTGCAGTGCAAGAAACCATCATCCCATCACTACTATTTGACATCATATGTGTATTTGAGGGAGCTGCATTTGTTCTTGAATACATAATCTCACCATTTCCCTTAGAATCTCCATTTATAGCACTTGCCAACTTGAGAATAAAGGAGTGCTCCTCACCCCTCCTGCATAGGTAATCATCATGAGTTAAAATAATGTTTTTTTTCTTAGCATTCATCTATTATCTAATGAATTACAAGTGTCTCTTCTCTGATCTTCCAAAGATTAATATGATACAAAAACTTACAATTTGACAAATATAACAGAGAGAAAGTACAATTCATGTACATTCATCAGAAATCATTTCTGAAATTACTCGAGCAACAGTTTCTCTTTTAAAATAGCCCCATATGTGATTTCAAATTGATGATGTAAGTTAATATATATGATACTATAATTTCTAATGATTGCATGTGTAGTTCAAACCAGGGTGACTAATCTACTATATTTGTACTAGGTAAAACCATGATAATGCGTAAAGTCTGTATCAAGGTTTAGAATATGCCCATAATGATCTGTACAGACTGTTATTTGCCAGTCCAACAGCTATCATTTGCTTGTTTCAGTCTGGTATGAGCTGTATTGCCTGATAAGCTCACCATACAGAACTTTCTGGGAGGTAAACAACCCAATACTGATTGGTACCAGATGATAAGTCTACCACCTAGTACCCACATTCTTTTTGTTTCTAAATAACAGTTGGTTCTCTCTCTCTCTCTC